GAGTCTCACTCTGTCGCCCAGACTGGAGTGCAGTGGCCGCTTCCGGCCACCGCAGTCTCGCCTGCTGGGCTCCAGCGATCCTTCTGCCTCAGCCTTCCAAGTAGCTGGAATTACAGGCATGCGCTACCACACCTGGCTGATTTTTTGATTTATTGTAGAGATGAGGTCTCGCTGCCCAGGCGGGTCTCGAACCCGCGGGCTCAAGCAATCCACTTACCTCAGCCTCCCAAAGGCGCGGGATTACAGGCTGAGCCATCGAGCCCGGCTAAATTCTTCCCTTTTAAAAAGTTTATTTGTGGTTGACTTTGGTTTGCTCATACTTTGCTTTCTAAATCCATCAGATGAGGTCAGAAAAAAAGAATTGGTTTCTTCCAAAGCAAAACTACTAGCAGCTTTATTAGGAATGAGTTGCCTAAGTCCACTCTCTTTATTTATTTTTAGTTTTATTGGGTTTTTTTTGTTTTGTTTTGTTTTAGTTGGAGTCTCACTCTGTTGCCTAGGCTGGAGTGCAGTGGCATTCTCATGGCCATCACAACTTCAACCTGCTGGACTCAGGCAATCCATTTCGCCTCAGTCTTCCAAGTAGCTGGACCACCTGTGCCACCATACCTGGCTATTTTTTGATTTATTGTAGAGATGAGGTCTTGCCATGTTGCCTGGGCTGGTTTTGCACCCTTGGGCTCAGGCAATCCTTTCATCTCCACCTCCCAAAGGTATTACAGGAGTGAGCCACTATGCCCAGTAGTCCACTCTCCTTAAAAGAAGCTAGCTGGAGCTGGGCTTGGTGGCTCAGCCTGTAATCCCGTGCCTTTGGGAGGCTGAGGTGAGTGGATTGCCTAAGCCCGTGGGTTCGAGACCCGCCTGGGCAGCGAGACCTCATCTCTACAATAAATCAAAATATCAGCCGGGAATGGTAGCGCGTGCCTGTAATTTCGGCTACTCGGAAGGCTGAGGCGGAAGGATCGCTGTGGAGTCCAGCAGGTTGAGACTGCGGTGGCCGGGAGCGGCCACTGCACTCCAGTCTCAGCGACCGAGTGAGATTCCAACTCAAAAAAAAAAAAAAAGAAACTAGTTGGGTCTGACAAGGTATTTTGAAATCTATGGATTATTTCTGTTCCAGAATCACTGCAAGAAGAAATTATATGATCTAATCGAAAAGAAATGTTGAAATCATTTTCCTTCCGATGGCTTCTCATTTCTCTCAGATAAAATCCTACTTCCTCACTCTGGTTTAAAGGCCCTTAGTAGTCTTTTCTCACAGCAACCCCTTGGCTGTACTCTGTCTATCACTGATTCTGTCACAAAGGCAAACTATCCCAATGCTGTTTCCACGGTCCAGCAAGGCTTTTGGGCATTCCCATGAGAGTTTGCTACTGATGATACTATCATGCTTTTGGCAAAGTGGGCTGTTCTCTTTGCTAATCCTGCCTCCTGTCCCCCTTTCTTAATCTCCATGGAATAGCAGAGGTCAGGCTTTTACTTTTTTAAAGAATGTACTAAAGGGTGGGGCATTTGGGAGAGGAAGTCTAATGCAGAAAAAGGAAATATATAACTGCTCCTAGCAGAGGCTATTTTGAGAGTCTGTAGGCCTCCCTAGTAATCCGTTATAGGGTTTTTTTGTTGGTTCCACTCCTGGCCTGCAGCCATTGGCCAGTTAGTTTATTTCCTAGTGAAACTTCTGTACATTTCTCTTTCTTAACATTCAATTCAACCACTGAAAGGTTTGGAGAGAGAAAAGAGTTCCTTGTAGACCACATTCCATCTTAGATGACTTAATTCACCCAATTGTGCCTCAATTTCCTCTTTTGTAAAACATGAAGAATAATAACATCTACTATATAGGGTTATTGTGACTATTAAATGAGTTAATATATGTAAAGTTTTTAGAGCGGTATTCAGCACTTAATAAATTCTGGATAAATGTGAGTTATTAATATCCACATCACACTACTTAATGTTACGTGTCCATTACCTTAAACTTTTGCAGTTGGGTCTTTCAGCACAGATGAAGAATTTATATTGTCCTTTAAAAATTCTGCTTGGGGTCATTTTTCTAAGCTGGTGGGACTTTTTTTTTTTTTTTTTTTTTGAGTTGGAGTCTCACTCAGTCGCCCAGACTGGAGTGCAGTGGCCGCTCCCAGCCACCGCAGCCTCGACCTGCTGGGCTCCGGCGATCTTTCCGCCTCAGCCTTCAGAGTAGCTGGAATTACAGGCATGTGCTACCACGCCCGACTGATTTTTTAGATTTATTGTAGAGATGAGGTCTCTGCTGCCCAGAGGGTCTCGAACCCGAGGGCTCAGGCAATCCACTCACCTCAGCCTCCCAAAGGCGCGGGATTACAGGCTGAGCCACGGAGCCCAGCAGACTTTTTTGACTAGACAAATCATCCAAAATTTAGATTATTATCTTCAACCACCAGAGTTCTCCCTCATTGTGAATGCTGTTTATTTATTATTAATTTAAAATGATTGCTGAGTATGGTGGCTCATGTCTGTAATCCCAGCACTTTGAGAGATAGAGGCTGACCAGCCTGAGCAACATGGTAAGACCTCCTCCCTACAATAAATCAAAAGATTAGCTGGGCATGGCGGCGCATGCCTGTGGTTGTAGTTACTTGGAAGGTTGAAGCAGAGTCATCACCTGAGCCCAGCAGGTTGAGTTTGCTTTGGCTGTGCCACAGCATTCCAGCCTGGGTGACAGAGTGAGACTTCGACTCAAAAAAAAAAAAAAAGATTTATATATTACAAATGATTTTTGTGAGCCAGGCTCGATGACTCAGCCTGTAATCCCGCTTTGGAAGGCTGAGGTGAGTCGATTGCCTGAGCCCCCGGGTTCGAGACCCGCCTGGGCAACTTGGCGAGACCTCATCTCTA